AATTAGCTGAGTATAAGTCCACTATAATGGTCTAAACTTTGACTTTTTTGTAACAGATTCACATTGAGAAGTATTTAAATGTTGTAAACCATCATGTGTTAACGACTCCTGTTGATGAGAGCTTGTATTCTTCTCAGGCTTCCAAATGGTAAGTAAAATAGCCAAGTAAATAAAATGAAAAAAAAAAAAACAACTTTTTTCACTCAGGTGAGATAACTATAAAGGTGAAATTTTCTTGGCTTTATTCACTAATTTTTTACTAATTTCAGTAAAAGCTTTGTGGAAGAAGTTAATGGCAGAATTTGGACTTTAGTGAAGTTTATTGTAGGTTACCTCTATTGAGTTCTAAAGCTTCACACCATGACAATTATTTCAGGGTCCTAGGTTATAGTGTTACTCTTTGTTGTTGTTGCTTTTTAGTGAAAGGTATCTTGAATTCAATTCCTGAAGGAAACATTTTAATGCAAATAAATTTTTACACTATTCAGATCACATGGTATTTTATTTACAGTTTATAGAATGTCATATGTGCTTTATTATAAAGATGGTTCTGGTATCCAGAGTAAACAAAATAAAAATAATAAAAATTTTTGTAATATCTATTATGTAATATGTCCTAAGGGATGACTTTTTAAAATTAGAATTGAGTTTTTAAAAAAGGGGCTCACCTCACCTTGGACCTTTTTACATATAGGCCTCCTAAATTTGAGTGGATGTAGATTAAGCTTTTGTACTAAGCTTAAAAACCCTGTCACCCTTATATGTGCCCAGCATAAGCGAATAGTATCAAGCAGTGAAGTCAAGTTTCAGAAATAGTGCACAAGGAATCATGGAAAGCTATAGACATAGCCATATTCCAGCACTCAGTAGTGAGGAACAGAGCTTTGAGTATACATTGTACCTGTCTCCCTCTTTCACCTCCCCCATGAAGGTAGTGCCACAGGTATCCATCATTCTTTGGTGGAGCCAACCCTTTTCTCCCTATTTCTACCTGGGCCTCCTTGCAGACATAAGTGTCTGTCATCTCAGCCTACTCCGTACTCATCACAGTTCCATTCCTACTGCTTAGAAAGCACTTATGTTAGTTTTCTGTTGCTGTGTAACAAATTACCCACAATTTAGTGGCTTAGAACAACAAACACTTATCTCACCGTTTCTGTGGGTCAGGAATCTGGGCACAATTTAGCTAAGTGCCTCTGGCTCAAGGTCTTTCACAAGGCTGCAATCTAAGTGTTGCCTGAGGCAGTCTCATCTGAAGAGTTGATGGGGGTAGGGGACTGAGTAAAGGGAGGAAGAGAGATCTGCTTCCAAGCTACTCACAGTGGTTGCTGGTGGGCCTTGGTTCCTCACCATGTGGGTTTCTCTTAGGCTGCCTGAGTATTTCCCATACATGCAGCTTGTGACCTGACAGAGACGCAGAGAGTGAAATAGAGTGCCCTAGATGGAAAATACAGCTCTTTTGTAACCTAATCTCACAAGTAGAATCACTTGTCCTCTATTCTGCTCATTAGAAGTGAGTCAGTAGGTTNTTTGAGTGGATGTAGATTAAGCTTTTGTACTAAGCTTAAAAACCCTGTCACCCTTATATGTACCCAGCATAAGTGAATAGTATCAAGCAGTGAAGTCAAGTTTCAGAAATAGTGCACAAGGAATCATGGAAAGCAATAGACATAGCCATATTCCAGCACTCAGTAGTGAGGAACAGAGCTTTGAGTATACATTGTACCTGTCTCCCTCTTTCACCTCCCCCATGAAGGTAGTGCCACAGGTATCCATCATTCTTTGGTGGAGCCAACCCTTTTCTCCCTATTTCTACCTGGGCCTCCTTGCAGACATAAGTGTCTGCCATCTCAGCCTACTCCGTATTCATCACAGTTCCATTCCTACTGCTTAGAAAGCACTTATATTAGTTTTCTGTTGCTGTGTAACAAATTACCCACAATTTAGTGGCTTAGAACAACAAACACTTATCTCACCGTTTCTGTGGGTCAGGAATCTGGGCACAATTTAGCTAAGTGCCTCTGGCTCAAGGTCTTTCACAAGGCTGCAATCTAAGTGTTGCCTGAGGCAGTCTCATCTGAAGAGTTGATGGGGGTAGGGGACTGAGTAAAGGGAGGAAGAGAGATCTGCTTCCAAGCTACTCACAGTGGTTGCTGGTGGGCCTTGGTTCCTCACCATGTGGGTTTCTCTTAGGCTGCCTGAGTATTTCCCATACATGCAGCTTGTGACCTGACAGAGACACAGAGAGTGAAATAGAGTGCCCTAGATGGAAAATACAGCTCTTTTGTAACATAATCTCACAAGTAGAATCACTTGTCCTCTATTCTGCTCATTAGAAGTGAGTCAGTAGGTTTAGCCCACACTCAAGGGGAAGAGATTACACAAGGTCATGAATACCAGGAGATGGAGATCATGGGGGGCCATCTAGGAGGGTACCTACCACTTGTACTCTTCTATTTGTCTTCATGATCCAGTTTTCGTCCATCTTCTCTGTTAAGCTTTCCCTCAGCTCTCTAAACTGTTTCTGAATTTTCATAGCATTCAGTACCTATACAACTTATTTGGCATACATCACTGTCTACCTTATATCGGTAGTTATTTTTTCATTGCTCTTAAGGGCAATGATCAAGTCTCATTTGTCTCAGTAGTCCCAGGTCACCATAATGTCTTGCACATGGTAGGGCTCAATAAATGTTTGATGATAATACTTTATCTCTTCCACAGATAGTATATGAGATAAATTTATCTATATTTTCTCATTTGATCCTTAAAAGAACTATATCATAGTCTTGATAACTGTAATCCTCATTTTATAAATATGTAAAATGAGGTCATAGAGGTTAAAGGGCTTGACCAAGATCTTAGAGTTGGTGAATAGAGCCAGCACTAGAACCCAAATTCTCTCAACTCTTAGTGTTCTTTTCACTAATTAAAATCCTCTTTGTATATGTTAGAATAATAAGCCAAAATCAAAGGATTAAACATCAAGGTTCAGAGATAGGAATAGGCTCTGTGTGACTTAGTATCCTCATGGCTCTTAGAAAGGTGGGGAGAATTATAAGCAACTAACCTCTGCCTTCCTGGCAGATTATTGGCATGTGATCATATGAAATGCTGTACTTGGTGAATAGGAGAAAGTCATTCTAGAATGCCTATCTTGAGCTGGGAACCTAGAGAAGAAGAAAAGTGTGGGAATATCCAAAGGATGTGGACATTACGATACAGAACACTTTTTAATTATTTTTTCATTATTTCTTTATAGTATAAACACACTGACACTCTAGAACTCCACCAGCTTGTGGGTATATGGTGAGCCTAAAACCCTGTTCTCAGAGTTGGTTGGGGAAGTAGGCTTCTCCTGCTGGGCTCCTGGCTACCCCGCTTCTCTCTGCTCAGTGGCAGAAGTGTGCTTTCCCCACAGGACATCAATGCAAGTCTGAATAAGAAAAATAATTTCTTCCTCCTAAGACATGACATATCAGTTACGTGGCATACAATTTTAGGAAACAGTCTTCAGGAGAACCTAGGTGAGCTATATGGTCTCAACAGATCACCTCATCTTGCCCTTTAAGTTCTCCTTCGGTTTAGTAAGGCTATAAATTCAACATTGGCTCAGAGGGTCAGGAACAGAGCCACTTTCAGGGCCTTTCTAAATATGTGTGGATTCTGCAATAATGTGTGTACTTTTGTATTGAATGATGTTGAATTCAGAGAGGTGACAGAACTTATTATAGTGGATAAAGTTAAAATTGTTCCCTGTGATGGTAAAAACACTGGCTCCAATACTACCAAATGAATGGGGGGAAAAGGCTTTTTTATGCCATCTTCTGTTATTATTCATCGCTTTTTGAAGAGAAGCATAGAAGAGACTTTAAAATTTATTCTAGCATTGCTGAAATGATTACAGTGTGCTAAACTATCAGAGAAGTCCAGTAGAAAGAAGCTTATAACTCTGTAGCTTGTAGCTCTTACATTGCCTTTATTATATAACATGAAGAAACAACTTTTTTTTATGACAAATCAAAAGTTGTTGCCTTCCTAAGACCATTCTTTAATAAATTCATTTTAAAACTCAGTGTGAGTAATAACTGTTGGACCTATTAAGCTCGCAATATGAAG